GTCTGCAGGAGGGCGATGGAGTTCTCGAGCTTTGTGACTTGCTCGGGGAGGCTCTGGGGCGATGGCTCGGGGACTGGCTGGGAAGCTTCCATCACGGTGCTGGATGACGTGGCTGATACGGGAGCTTCCTTGGCCGGAACTGCCGTAGATAGAAGAGGATCGGGGCAAGAGACGGTGATGGCATTCTCAGGGACTGTCTGCTGATCGACATCCATTTTGGAAGTGGACAAAGATATATACGAAGAAATTTCCGGGCTATATAAGGGCGACTGGGCTAGACCTCGACCGGGGAATGAAGTAGAAGTGAATTGGTCTGGGGAATGAAGAATATGAAGCGGCCTGAGGAATGGAAGTGTTCTCGGTGAGGTGCTGGAATAGGGGTACTTATAGGCCTTGGAAGGGTTTGGGGAGGCCCTCGGAGTCAGCAATGTCGTTGGTCTGAACAACCAAGCACAAACAGTTCTGCTTTGATACTTGACCGGATTTGGTTGTTGAGAGGTGCCCGTGATTCAGAAAGAGGGCCAGCCCCTGATCTGGCCCCCTTTCGCAACACCGACTTTTCAGACAACTGGTTTGTTGGATTGTGTTGAGCCATTCAGAAGGTGATTTACGGTGAGATGAAGAGTAGATTCTAGTGTTTGCTTGTTGCTTTGAGGGGCACGAGGCACAGGATCCCACCGAGAAGCGGGGTGCGGAAGGGCGATAGCCAGTCGGCGACCGGCTCACGTCGGGATGGCCCCACAGAATTCGGGGGTGTGGACCCACAAAATCGGGGGTGTGAGCCTAAAATCCGGCCTCATGACCGGTTTATCTCGCGGGGGGGCCGAGATTGGGGCAGAGTGACGTGATTTTGTTGAGAAGTGAAGGGATGATATTGCCGCTGTGCACCGTGACTCACACCGATCAACCAGGGCTTTCCAGAAGGTTAGAGGAGCCCCTCCCACTTGGAAATTCAGCATCCGGTTCCCGGCATTTCCTCATTCTTGTCCGCTTCGATTTACCTACTATGGCGGGAAACCCCACGATAAGAGAGACTCACCAGACCAACCTACGTACGTGTTATTTCCCAAGTTCTGAACGATTCTTCGAAGCCGCTTGCTTCCTTTTATTCCCTCACTCTCATGCCAACGCTATTTCCTCGGTGTCACTATAGGGGGAGTATTCTTTGTCAATGGTCGGAGTCCCTGGGCAACATGATAACTAATAAACCCAAGCGTGCTACTCCTCTATCCAAGATGAGGCAGGTAGCTGGCCCACGCTGGCGTTTCAAAGACTGATTCGGGCAGGCGGCCGACGCTGATAAAACTTTCGACAACCAAGTAGACCCGTGACAAGACGTAAAGGAGGGTGGATGCAGGGACAGCGAGTAGGGCTGTCTGCAGGATGAAAGCCGGGCAGAGAATTGCGAATGTGAGACACCACACAAGCCAACGCAACGCAAACCAAACACTGTTAACCCCTCCCCTTAGCCAGCGCGGCCCGCAGGTAAGCAGGGTTGGTTTTCTCGAGGCATAAAAGGCTTTTTTGGCACACTCAACTATCCCGGGGGCGGCGCCGTACGCGATGATCGAGATGCCGGAAATCCGCCAAATCATGGCTTCGAGCGAAGTCCGAACTGGTGGGCTCCAGGCTAGTAGGTGCAGACCGCCGTACGCCATCCCGGCAACGAACAAACTCAAGAGCACGGGCTGCGCTGCAGGATCCAAATGGTAGGAGGAATCACGCGTTGGCAACTCTTCGACCCGGTCATCTATCCACGAGTGAAACCAGTCCCGCTCGCAGGGTCTATCCTTTGGGGACAGGTTGTCGGGGCGTCGAACAAGCACTCGGTACTTTGCGTAGCACTCCTTGGCCATGCGGAGGCGCGAAATATCGGCAGCGGATAGCTCCATAAACTCGCGTTGCAGTCTTAGAATCCCGTTATTCCCCTGCATGTCTTTGCACCTGGTGCGTAGGAACCCAAAACCAAACAGGCTCTGTCCCATATAAAGTTTGAATGTTGCGTCGCCGGACCCCTCGGGGGGCGGGTCAACCTCAAAAAGAAGGGGGTGACGGATCGGATCGCCCTGGTAGCGGGCCAGGAAACCCGAGATTCCATGGTCATTGCAGTACTCTTTCCATCTCTTATCAAGAACGGAGTACAACCATTCCTGGTCTTCCTGGTACGAAAATAGGTGGTAGGCAAGTCTCCGACAGCGTGGCTTCGTTGACTTCTGGCCGTCAGTGACCGGTAGATTGCTCCCCAGTTCTGACCGCATCAACATGCCGGCACACGCAATGCCTGCGTCTCTGCCATCAACCAGAGTGGGTTCTTCAATATCAAGTGGTTTTTTCCACCACGAGATGTAGGCGATGAGCGCGCAGATGCAGTGGGCTAGTGTGTTAAGTTCCAAGAGACTAATTGTCATGCCCAGGGCCATACGGGAGATGCATTGCGCGGCGAACCAAGAGGCTTGTAGGGTGACGATAGTCTTGGCAAGCTGGTTCGCCTTGCTCTTGTCGTTAATCTGACGCAGTGAGATGTCAGGCAATAGGTGTGGTGCGACCCGCACGAGTTCGAGAATGCCCGAGCTTGTCAACGTGACACGTCTGCGTCCGCCGGGGAGGAAATCACTGCCCTCGCCAATCAGGTCAGAATCGAAAGCAAATCCTCCTATATCCCTATGTATCAGTGAAACCTTACCCCAGTCAGCAGGGTGTAGGCAGAAAGAACATACCCATAATGGCATAGTAGCTGTGCGTCATGGTCCATTCATGTCTTCGTTTGGCTCTGACGGTTGGACCCGGTTGTGTGGTTGGGTCGGATTCACCTCCTTTGTTCCTCCTGGACTTCCTTGACGTATCGGAGCCGGCTCCCAGCGGTGTGTTGTTCTCGTTTCCTGCGCTCATCTCGACGTCCTCATTCTTCCCCCTCCCAACCATCCGTCCTAACCGCCAAATTGACTTTCCAGTCCCGGGGCACCTCGGCCCCTCCCCCAGTGCCTCCTTGATCTTCTTGTGGAGGTCCTTGGCTTGGCGTCGTTGCTCATATGCTGTCCATGCGACGATCTCAGGGGCGAACAGGCCCAAGAGCAGCCACCACATTTTACGGCCCATCTGGTACGACGGGATATACTTGTAGTTGTGACCATGGTGCTCGGGGATGTTGGAGGTGGACAGCGGTCCAGACACACAAAACCATGGTGAGGATGCAAGACGAGAGTAGCCCGTATGTGCCACGGCCCAAAGGCTCCGGCTGCCATACTGTGTGGTTTCTGGCCGTTCCGAACTCGATGCCCATAGTTGTGGCAGATACCAGTACAACAAAGTCGGATGAAGTCGAGGTCGCGACAGCGTCGTGTTGAGCCCGTGTACGTTGAAGACGATGAAGTGAAGTAGGTAAGATGAGCCGCTTTGACAAATGCCCAAGCTCTGCCTGATGAGCCCAACCTCTGCGGGTGAAGGGCAAAGATGCCCTATCATCGCTGAGACTCAACGACATTTGGAGTCTGGGTCACTCCCAGCAGCCTATCGGTGCCACGGATGTGAGACATGGTGCTGGACGTGGTGCAGTTGCTAAAATTTCAAAGCCGACGGTCCCCTCCAATCAGGCCCGTAAGAACTGCAGCTCAACCATGTTTTTCCGGCCGTCCAGTAGCGAGAGAATTGAAGTGTTTATAATACCGTGGGTCCACCCCCTCCAACCCCTCTGTGGGTCTCTATTGAACCTGATATTCTTGGTTTCCAGTGGTTAAACCAACACATGGGGTTGCTCAGCTTTGACAATAGCGCTTTCGGGACGAGAGGGGGGTGAAACGGGGCCTTCACAGCTGTGCGGCGGCGGTGTGAGGGATCACCCGTAGCTGCTCACCATACTTAGTAGGATGACGAACGAAAAGCAAATTCTGTGTTCCCAGCTTCGTCACACGTTGCCTTACCAGGCTGTTTTATCTAGCAAACCACGGCGATATATCGGGAATGGCCTTCCTCCACTCAAAAATGAATCTTGAATCTTTTCTTACTAGCTACACTGGACATTGGCCGCGGGGACGGAATGTCCCCTATTGAGAACCTGACCGAGACCCATTCCTGCCTCCTCCTCCCAACTGCGAATACCTTTCTCGATGAGTCCCGTGCCGGAAAGGCAAAGATCCGGCGCTAAAAAAACAAAATCTTCTCGGTAAAATCCAAGCGTTCGTCGCTGATGGGCGGGACCAAGTCGCGAGTCAACTACCTACCTAAAGGCAACATGATATCCTCCCATCGCACACTCCTACGCCTCTCTATATACACGAGTACTAACCAGCGACTATAGGTTAGACAGCAGTTAAAAGAAACTTTGGTACCACTCCTCAGTCTGATACCGATCCCCGCTGACTTATCAGACGTTTGGTCTCTTTGACAAAGACGAGATACAGCTTGTCCCAAGTGGAAATCTCGTCCAGATAGGACAGACTAGATCTACGACCTTCATCCTGAGGTGTCACACTCTACACACACAACCCCAACTTCCAAGGAGGCGCCAGTACCTTTTCCGCTTTCCATCCCACGGCCGAGTAAGGTAAAATGGTTAGACGGACGCTCTCTGCTGAGTGCCTTTAGGATACCCCCAGAAGACAGTAAGCTCCTCGACTCTCCTGGCCCCTTTGTCTCCTTGTGGACTTCTTGTGCCCCGGTCTCTAAGTGACCATGCGGTAAACTCCGCCATCAATCTGTGACAAGTATCAATCGGCGACAATTTCCGGTGAGAAGCATACTAAGAGCTTCAGAACAGACAGAACCGTTCGTTTGCCCGTTGTTGTACGGTTCACCCCGATAGCAAAGGCCTTCCCACAGTCCTTGTATTGTGCAAAGGATACACCTCAACCATAAATAAAATCCTGGAAGCCTCCTCATCTTTCATCTCTCACAAGAAACACGGGACACCAGCACCTTCCATGCACCATAGTGGTATTCTGCCGCCCATACGCGCACCCGACGATAGTTGCCTACAACAGAACATCCATCAACCAATCAGAAGAGGGCATGTAGCGCAGTGGTAGTCGCGCTCGCTTTGCATTGATACAAACACGGCGTTGCGAGAGGCCTTGGGTTCAATCCCCAACTTGTCCAGACTCGAATTTTTGCCCCTCATCCTGTCCTATGTTGTGAGAGGACTCCTTTTTTTTTAAGTCCCCCTTTTTTTTTGGTTGACGACCAGTCAGTTACGGCGACGTCGAAGCTGCAGTCCAGCCCGCAGAGCGACCACCACCTCTTTGTCGCTGTTTACATTGCGGCCTGACCCCGCTTGCCCGCGCAGCCCAGCCCAACAACATTGCATGACAGTACATGAAATGCAGCTGCATCTGACCCCTCCACGATGATTTTGAATGCTGTTCAAACGAATCTCGTCTCTGCTGAACCAGATGTTGAGCCGTCGACCCCGGCGGACCCGTCCTGGACGGTCCGGGCGCCGACCGACTCCGAGCGGGACCGAGCGGCGGCTAACGGAGCCGAGTGAAATCTGTTGAGGACAAGCGCGGGGCCGGATCGGGGCGCGGGGCACTCGTAGTTATTTGGAGCCCAGCCCCCTGGCTCTGGAAGGGCTTGGTGACCCCTGGCGGTGCCTGCAGCCCTCTTGCAGCGTCTGCAGTCAGCCCCTCCATTCACATCAGAGAGGGGGGACGAGGGCCCAAGGAGGGGTAGCTGATTACCCCTCCTTGCTTCCTTCTTCCCTCATCAGCATCGCAGCCTGATGATGCAGCAGAGATGAAGCGGGCCCGACAGCAGCACGGAGCCATTCGGAATTATTGATTCCAGCCCCCGCGAGCCGTGTTTGCGTGCGCGGTGCGAGGCGGTCAAGAAATCAGATACGATACGGGTCGGTGCCAGTGGTCGGCCTGTGTTGGATGGCCGTCTCCGTGCCCAAGCTGTCTGGTACCCCTCTTCTTGCTCTTCTTTCTGAAGCTGCGCAGCTGTTTGCCTTTGCTGACGAGGAATATTATTCGAGGCATTCGTTGCAGCTGCAAGCAGCTCGCGCTTTCTCGGCTGCCGGACTCTAGATCGGGGAGTTCCCGTTGGCGGTGGTTCCCCTCCCCACTCCGAACTGGGCGTGTTGCTGATGTGGGGTACGGAGTACCGCACTGGTGTAACTCCGCCTCCCGATTTACCACCCCCCAACCCCTGTTGATCTGGCCGTCGGGTCTTGATAAAGAAGAAGGGGGGGAAGGGGGGGGGGCTTCCCCTTTTTTTGGCAGACTTTCTCATCTTTCTTTTTTGCAGTTCCAAGATACCCCGATAGCCCGATACCCGTCCTCCGTTCCCGTCATCAAAATGGTCATCGCTATTCCCACCGCCAGCCTCGAGGGCAAGGTCGCGCTCATCACGGGCGCCGGCCGCGGCATCGGCAGGGGCGTCGCCCTCGAGCTGGCCAAGCGCGGGGCGTCGGTCGTGGTCAACTACGTGTCGTCCGAGGGGCCGGCGCAGGAGGTGGTCAAGGAGATCGAGTCGTACGGCAACGGCGCCAAGGCGGTGGCCATCCAGGCCGACGTCAGCAAGGTGCCCGAGATCGCGAAGCTGTTCGAGGCGGCCAAGAAGCACTTTGGCCGGCTCGACATCGTCATGTCCAACAGCGGCACCGAGTCGTGGGACAAGACCGAGGACATCACCGAGGAGAAGTTCGACCACGTCTTCAACCTCAACGCGCGCGCCCAGTTCTTCGTCGGCCAGGCCGCCTTCAAGCACCTCGAGCAGAACGGCCGGCTCATCCTCATGACCAGCATCGCCGCCGGCCTCATGGGCGTCAAGAACCACGCGCTCTACAACGCGTCCAAGATGGCCGTCATCGGCCTCGTTAAGGCTTTTGCTACCGACTTTGGCGTCAAGGGCATCACGGTCAACGGCGTCGCCCCCGGCGGCATCAAGAGCGACATGTTCACCCAGAACGCCTGGCACTATATTCCTGGCGGCACCCCCGACTGGCCCGCCGAGAAGATTGAGCAGCTCATGGCCGAGCACTGCCCGCTCGGTCGGTGTGCCGTGCCCGAGGATGTCGCCCGTGTCGTTGCCTTCCTTGCGAGCGAGGACGGCGGCTGGGTCAACGGTGCGTGTTCTTTTTCCTGTGCAGTAGTTGACCGAGCTAACTCTTCGCAGGCCAGGTCATCACCATCTCGGGCGGGTCTTCGCAGTAGACGGACCGAAAGAAACGGGGAGGGTGTTTTGCTAGCCATTTCTGCTGTTGCTAGAGGGTCGGATCTATACAGGCCATGTTATGAACAACAAAAATCATGTCGCATCATTTTCCGCGTGTTTCTGCCGTGTCTGTTGTGATTGTTTGATTCTCGGCATCCAATTGTTGTGTACATGCTGGAACACCGGGAAGTCGGTCGCCTGCCACAGGTACCACCACGACCGACCTGTCGGTATCTCCGCCTCCGCCTCCGTCCCCGGCGGCTTGTCCGGATAGACATTGTTACCGTTGACGGACGTTACACTGTCAGATACGCCAGCGTCGCCAGCCCTATGGATGACTCGCGTTCAGTTTCAGCCCGACGACCAACCTCGATGGTGTCCGTGACAGATGTGGCGCCAGCATACGATAGCACCGTACGGCGCCCTTTGGCTCGCCGCCCTCGTCGGGCACTGCTGCTAGGATGGGAGCAACCATCGGCAAAGGCCAAGGAGCTGACAAATGGGGGCCGTGCCGCTAATAATGGAGCTTCTCTTTTCCAGACGGACAGTGAGTAGTCAGTTGCAGGAGGGACTCAAGAAAGGTTTTCAACCTGACCTTGGACGTGCACGGAAAGACCACGTTAGTCAATTTGCCAAGCAGTAGTGGTCAATCATGAAAATGACTTCCATGATACCGAAATGTCAATAGGTACCTACTTTGCAAAGCTCAACGGACTTGTTGGGGTTGGTGTAATCCTCGGTCCGCTTCAGCTCCTCGCAGGCAGGCTCATCCAGCTCCTCGTCAACGTCGACGGGAGGTGAAGTCTGCCCGGCAAGGGCTTGCTTGCATGAAGGGGTCCAGGCCCAATAAGAATTGCTTCTCTTCTGGAACGACGTTGGGCTTTTGCAGCGCCAAGGTTTGCCAGCCGCCTTGGCCGTGTATCCGAAATTCTTGTACCAGTCAGCGAGGTCAATGGCGAGTATCAAGCGGATCCTAGGAGCCTCGACATCGCCTACCTATATCTCGATAAAGGTCCTCGTACATATGCAACGTCTGTGCCATGGCGAGACTTGATCTGGTCCAGTACTTGATATGCCTTGACGGTGAACTGTATGTGGCCCACCTCGTCGAGCCCCTCGGGCCATATTGTTCTCCAACATTTCTGTCTAGATTGCGAGGACAGTCTCGAGGTCTTTTTGGGCGTAGGCCACGTCGTGAAGAATGCAGCTTCCGGGACTGTTCCTTCATGCGTGGGATTTCGTTCTGTGGCTGTTTCAGCTGTACTGGTAACCCATTCTGGTCAAGCTTGGATCGGTACCTATCGGATATGTTTGCATATTTCAGCCAGTCTACCAGCTCGCAGAGGAGATCTGCCTCGAGGACAACATTTTCGTATCATTCTCGTCGACATTGTTGCCCTTGGCCAGGCGGGTCGAGCTTGAAAGACTGAGGTAAAAATGCTTGTTTTGTGGAAGAGAGGTGGGTCCTGATGGCTGGCTAGATACTGTGCCTGTGGTCCTTGCGCGCCTTCCATCTTGCTTGGGTGCTCCTTCCTGGCCTAACAAGCTGAAAAAAAGAGAGCAGCGTGAACCCCCACCAAAATCGGTGATAAAACTGGTCTCTCTTTTTCTAGGCTGGGTTGACGCCCGTCGGCCGTCGGAGCTGTATTCCCTACTGACGCCCCGACTACCTTCATTTCATAGGAAGAACCTCCAGTATCACCACGCAACCAACAACATGGAATCCTCCACAGTCGGGGCAGCTGTGACGCTGGAAACATTCACGGCGCTCCCAGTCGATCCGAAGGCGGAACCCTCTGTCGGCTGTAATCAAGCCCGGCACGACGTATACGGAGGAGAGACTAGGCTTGAGTGACTTTGCCGACATGGAGAAAGAACAGTGGCCGGCGCTGTGTCCGTTCGACTGTAAACCGGTGGTAAGCTTGTCCTAATGTTTGAAAGTCTTGTTTTCATCGAAACCATCATGTTCGTTTCTGACACTTCCTAGAGCCCCGAATGGATATATTTGTACGGCGTACAAAACCCCAAGAGTCGGACTCTCGTGGGTAGGGATGTAAATTTTTCTGAAAATTCTCGAATCAGAAATAAGGCAACGTCTTGAAATCAACGAGTAAACGAAATCCAGGTCTCTCTCGGAATACTCAGCTCGACTTTGTGTCTCCCATCAAGGTGCAAGCTTTGGGAACAGGACAATGCGACATACCAAAGCGCCGACAAGGCGGTGAAAAAGTCGACAAGACGCAATACCACGTCTGTCATAACCAACGTTACAGCATCTAGACCTTTCGGTCAGCCTCCGACGGTCTGGATTTGGGTCCCGGTATTGCTCAATCTACCCGAGCCTGCAGGGGTCGATAACAGCCGGCGTTGCGTCATCTATCACCATCCAATGCCCTGCGGCCGGTAGAGCATCGCTTGATTGACAGCGTCGGCGGTGCCAAGACATTACCCATATCGGCCGTCTTCTATAGGTAATCCCAGGTTTCAGGAGTCGTCCTGTTTTCAGCGACGGACGGGACACGGCTATTTTTGGCCAGCCCTTTACTCGCCGTCCTTTTGGACGACGCTCGGCTGTTTCTTGCAACCATCTAGAACGCGACCGGCCCTGGGTTGCACAGCATTACACACCAGATTCCCATTTCCAAGCTGTCGTTGCGAGACTGGCATGGGAATTACGCCCGTACAAGGAATAAACATTGGATTACGCGTTCCTTCGTTATCCCATGTCATGCTAACCGTTTTGAAGGCATGTTCGTTTATACGGCGTAAATGTAACGTTTCTAGATTTGCGCCACAGTTTTATCGATCTCGTCACCCCCGTGTTATATGTATACAGACACGGACCCATTCCGGATGGGAATCCCCGCCCTCTCATTATGGCTACCGGCGGTGCAACAAACAACGGACGCAGGTTGGTCTGATGCTGCCAAGCATTTCCGCTC